GAAGGCTGGCTTCCGTGATTGTGAATGTTAGTGAGATGCCAATGGAACCACTGGAAGAGGCCCTCAGCGATCGAGCTTGTGGTGATTGTATCGGGAAGAAACCGGGTAGGTCGGGAAGGTTGACAACTCAGTCACAAGGGCATCGTGATGCCCAGCGGCGCTGCTGCAAGCCCTGTGGAAGCGGTGTGGGCCATGGAAGGAAGAGCAACCAGGAAGAAAGAAAGATGACAGCCACACCCGCGCTCAAGGATGGAAGAGTAAGATGCCGTTACTTGACTTTGAGTCCAGGTGACGGCACTCCACAGCGCGCTAAAAGGCTTAGCGCGGAAGAGGCGCCCCCGCAGTCCACGCGAGCCTCGCAACTGATCTTGTCAAGACTCCCGACGTCACGAAGACACCTCAGATGTTTGAGTAGCGGGCCTCGCGACACTTTCTCCATGAGCAAATTTCTTGCGTCCTTCCTGTTGTTGACCGCGATGGTGTCTTGGCCGTCACGGGGGCATCCTCCTAGCCAGGCCGCCCGCAACTATGACGATCGCACTCGGGGTCCGCAGGCACACCTGGGCAGCGCGCATCCATTGGCAGGCATGCACGCACCGAGCGGAAAGTGTGGCGATGCACTCCAGGAAGAGTATTCGCCCAACTGAGCACTACCCCGGACCCTCCCTGGGTGGTGGCCGGACTTCCGGTCCTGGCCACGATTTGACGATCCGTCATTTCCTAGCGAGATGCTAGTATCCAAACAAACAACATGCTTTTTTGTATCGTGTACGCGCCCATGTACAACCTTCGGCGGAAAGCTCTGGTTTGTTGCAGTATAAATGGGTCAAATCCTGCAGGTACCTGGCCCAGACCGGTTTCCTGCATGACAACTGTTATTCCCCACATTCACTCCAGCGGAGGGAATAATACTACCGTTCATCGCGTCATTGTGCTTTAGCAATGAATACCCTCCCCAGGTAGACATCAGGTGGCCAACACAGGCCGAAAAGAGCATTTTGTGGGTCAAGCGGTGACTGTGGTCTCAGAATTACACTTGGCTACCGATATCGTGAATGCTGGCACGGCCCTTCCACGCAGGTCTTCCCCACGTATATATTCTTGGGCAAACGGGCCTTACTCTTCCTCTTTCTTCCCCGAACGCTTCTCCACCCTTGGGTAATATTGATAAACATCGTTATGATCAATATTATTCTGCTCGGGCTTGCCGCCTGTTCGAGCCTCACGTACGCGGCTCCTGTATCGCCAGACCCTGCCGATGTCGCGAGTTTTCTCACTCGCCGCGCCGCAGTTGATGCTTGCCCCGGCTACACGGCCTCAAATGTAGTCGAGACCGGGGACACTTTGACTGCCGACCTTACCCTTTCTGGAGATGCGTGCAACGCATACAGCGAGGACATCAAGGACTTGAAGTTGCTAGTTGAGTACCAAACTAGTAAGTATCAGCATCTCTACTTTGGACACGCCTACTAACATCAAATAGACGAGCGTCTACATGTCAAGATCTACGATGCCGCTGAGCAAGTCTACCAAGTATCTGAAGAGGTGTTCCCACGCCCCAAACTCGAGAGGCGCGGCGATGCAAACCTGGCGCTTAAATTTGGCCTCAAGACCAGTCCATTCTCTTTCGATGTGACGCGCAGGGACAACGGCGAGGTTTTGTTTGACATTGGCACTGTGCCACTGGTTTTCGAGAAGCAGTATGTCCGCCTTCGCACCAAGCTGCCCGATAACCCCAACCTCTACGGCCTTGGTGAGCACAGCGACGCGTTCCGCTTCAATGCGGAGAACTACGAGCGTGTCTTGCTGAACGCGGAGTCTCCTCGAATTCCCAGGAATGCCAACCTGTACGGAACCCACCCTGTCTACTTCGACCACCGTGGCGACAAGGGCACCCATGGCGTCTTCATGCTCAACTCCAGCCCAATGCAAGTCGAAATGAAGAAGGGCGATGACGGCCAGTACCTTGAGTACAACACCATCGGTGGTGTTATCGATTTGTACTTCATGGCCGGTAGCAAGCCTGCCGAGGTTTCGAAGCAATATGCTGACATCGCGGGCTACTCTGCCATGTACCCATACTGGACCTTTGGATTCCACCAGTGCAAGTACGGCTACTGGGACGTCAACATGGTCGCTGAAGTCGTCGGCAACTACTCGACTGCTGGAATTCCCCTTGAGGTCATGTGGACTGATATTGACTACATGTATCTTCGCGAGGACTTCACGGTTGACCCCGAGCGCTTCCCCCTCTCCAAGATGCGTGAGCTTGTGCAAACACTCCACTCGCGCGATCAGCGGTACATTCTGATTCTCGACCCGGGTGTTCACGCTGTGGGCGGTCAGTACCTCAGCTACAAGAAGGGTCACGATATGGACGTCTTCTTGAAGGCCGCCGATGGCTCCGACATGCTCGGAATTCAATGGCCCGGTGAAGTCGCATGGCCTGACTGGTTCCACCCCAACACGGAGAAGTGGTGGACTGATGAAATGAACATCCAGTTCAACCCCGAGTCAGGTATCGATATCGATGGTATCTGGGTCGACATGAACGAGGCCTCCAGCTTCTGTCACGATGTCACAACCTGCAACCCTCGCCAGCAAACCATCGACGACAACATTCCTCCTCACCCTGCCAATGCGCCACGACCCAACACCGGCCGCCCGATTCCTGGCTTCCCAGAATCCTTCCAGCCGGGTTACAGCAACAAGGCCCGTGATGTAGAGCCCATTTCTGCACCACGCCCAGATTCTGTTGAAGCTCGCGGTTTCCAGTCTCTACCTGCTCGCCAGACCTACGATAGCCCGAGTGGTATGAAGGGTTTCCCCGACCGCGAATGGTTCAAGCCTGCCTACGGTATCAACAGCCATCTAGGTGACATTTCGCGCCAAACCATCCCCATGAACACAACCAACTATGACGGAAGCTGGCAGTACGACACACACAACCTCTACGGCAACATGATGGCATCCACGACCCGCGAGTCCATGCTAGCCCGCCGTCCCGCCCTCCGTCCCTTCGTGCTCACCCGCTCCACCTTCGCCGGCACCGGCCGCAAGGTAGCCCACTGGTTCGGCGACAACTTCTCCGCTTGGGACGACTACCGCATCTCCATTCGTCAAATGCTTTCCTTCGTCTCCATGCACCAAATGCCCATGGTCGGCTCCGACGTATGCGGTTTCAACGGCAACGCAGACCAATACATGTGCGCCCGCTGGGCCACGCTCGGCGCCTTCCAGCCCTTCTACCGCAACCACGCGGAAATCAGCGCCATCCACCAAGAATTCTACCTCTGGGACGTAGTCGCCGAAGCCGCGAAGCGGGCCATCGATACGCGTTACAAGCTGCTCGATTACATCTACACGGGTCTGTACTACCAAACCAAAGAAGGCACGCCCATGATCAACCCCCTCTTCTTCCTCTACCCCGAAGACGCGAATACCTTTGGCATCGACCTGCAATGGTTCTACGGCGACGCCCTGCTCATCTCACCCGTTGTAACAGACTACTCCGACACCGTCACTTTCTACCTGCCCCAAGACACGTTCTACGACTACTGGACGTACGCCAAGGTCGAAGGCGAGGGCAAGAACGTCACAGTCAGCAACCTAGGCTACAGCGACATCCCCGTGCACATCCGCGGCGGCTCCATCGTGCCCCAGCGTGTCAACAGCGCGAATACCACAAAGGCGCTGCGCAAAGAAGACTTTTTGATCATCGTTGCGCCGGATGCGGATGGCAAGGCGACGGGACGGCTGTACCTTGATGACGGCGAGAGTCTGGAGCAGCCTGCTATGAGCGAAATCTCCTTTTCGTACGACGGCGCCAAGTTCAGCGCTACGGGCTCTTTTGCCTATGCTGGCGCGAATGAGGAGAGCGTTACTGTTGCCCAGGTTGTTGTGCTGGGCCGGGGTGAGGCTGGTGCTACGGGTAACTTTGACAGCGAGAAGGGTGCTGTTACGGTTGATGGGCCGTGGAAGATGGATGGCGAGTTCTCATTCGAGTTGTAAGACTGGGACGACTGAGTGTGTGTTTGGTCTTTGACATTTAGGTTTCATTTACGGCTTTATCTACACGGAGGTGGCATCTTGTTGTTTAGTTGGATATGTTGTTGGATTGGATCTTCATTGCAAGCGGTTTGCATGTAGACATGGCGTTCACGGGTGTTTGATTGGATATGTGTATGGGATTGTATTCATGGAACGGGTTCTTGAGATACCATGGGAGGGCTCTGGAGGACAACTCTCTATTCTTTATTTTCTTATCAATATATTGGTCCTTGTACTATTACAATATGCTTTCTAAAGCTTCCAGCATGACTGCCGTGTCATCAGATCCTCATACCGTCCAATTTCCGACATCACAGCACGTACTCTGAATTCGTCGGCTTGCAACACCGACTCGACACATGATGTTGATCATCGTATTGTATTCAGGATACGTGCTGTGATGTCGGGAATTGGACGGTATGAGGGCTTGATAACACGGCGCAACACTACAGCATGAGAAGTACAAAGGTACAGACCAAAATTGGTACGTACCACGCACCCACCAAGCCCGGCCGCAACCGCACCGATGTCGTGCAAATTAAGTATGGTCACAGCTCGAGGTGAGACGGGGCGGGTGCGGGTGCGAGATCATTCGTGCGGGGTAGTGGAGTGTTGACTCTCGTGTGACTGAGACACCGGTCTTGGCCTGACAGGTCACGCTGCCATCGCCCGGGGTTGTCTCACCGACCTTTCAACCACGAGCTCTTGTAGCGCACACCGACCATGTCGACCGAGGCTTCGGTGTGAATGTTACTCAAGATGTGCCGACCCATTGAGAGGGAAGCACTCCCGCATTCATGACGTTGGTGTTGTGCAAGCTATCGGTGCGTTGTCGCATAGACTTGTCCTTCTGATCGTGAATGTGTCGGTCGATTCTTGTGGCCGAACTGATGCCGTGATGGCAACTTGCGCGATAGGCGTAGTCGTAGAACGCATCGTCGGCGGTCCCCTCACTCCCCTCCTATCGTCGTTGCTTCAAGCTCGTCTCGAACGCTGTTCAGGCTGACATCTTGAACCTCGTAGCCGACTTCGATCTTGTTCTTTGGGCGTGCTTTGTTCAGACCTTCAAGCAAGACGCAGGCCTTGCAGACTTCCTGGCTCGAGAGGTATCCGCACTTCTTGCACTGGCCCATGACCTGCTTGCTCGTCTTCTTGGGTGTGAAGCCCTTCTTGACCTTCTTTCCGTTCGCTACTGGTAATGCGCCGTTGCTGTGCTGTCCACTGCCGTTGACACTCTTCGTGGTGATCTCAGTCTCGAGGTTGCCGTCAACGGCTGCTTCGTTCTGCCTGAGTTGGGCCTCGACGCTAGCCATCTCGCCACCTGTGCTGCGCCCTTGGGCACTTCCGCATCCGCCTTCCTCCTCTTCAGCCACAGGCACACTGCTCGAGCAAGCACCTCCGCAACCTTCATCGCTGCCAGGCACTAATTTCGCCATATCCTCGCCGCTCCTGACCACATCCAGGATAGCACTGGGCCGCACTCTCTCGAGGTTCTTGATCAGAGCACGTGCACTGCCGCGGAAGGCTTCAGGCGAGTATATGCATTCCGTGCTGAAGTAGTCGAGGCTCTTGTGGTGGGCGTAAAGGACGATCTCCTTCTCGTATGCGTACTTTAAAGGCTTGCTGCGCTTGATATTGGTATTCGAAGCTGGGTCAGACGACGCGGAGGGCGTAGATGTGATGATAGAAGTGGTGCGCGACAGACGGGGCAGGTCGCCTCTGAGCACTGTTCTAGTTAGTGTTCTGTAGATTTTGAACGTCGAAGACAGTACTCACAGTTCATTAGAACCGTCTCGGCGACGTCATCCGCATTGTGCCCCGTCACTACATGCTTGACTCCAAGCCTCGACGCCCCACGATCAAGCGCTTGCCGCCTGAAGACGCCACAGTACGTGCAGTTGCCCTTCTTGCCCACCTGCTCCACCACTTGATCCATTGTCCACCCGTAGAGCTCTGAATATCCCAGGATGGTCAGGTCCATGCTATACTGTTCCGCGTTCCTTTTTACCGTCTCCAGACTATCATCTCGGTAGCCTTTGATGCCCTCGTCGATTGACAGGAGGATGAGATCAAGGCCATAGTCGTAGCGCTCATTGAGTGTCTTGAGAACAGAAGCGAGGACGGTACTATCTTTCCCACCGGATGCGCCGATGGCGACCTTTTCGCCGCGTTGGAAGAGGGAATTTGTGGTGATGGTGTGGTGAATTTCCGTTTCAAAGACCGAGATGAAGCACGTCTTGCATAGCTTGGAGTGGTCCTTGGGGCGCAGTATGAGTGCCCGATTCACCTTGCACAGTGCGCAGGACGAGGGCGGCATATTCGGGCGTGATGTCTGGGCGTGGTGTGCGTAAGCCCAAGAGTGACGCGAATGCATGGCGGGGAGAAAATCCCATAGCGCGAGTCAGTCCCCACTTGCGCGGGGCGAGGCTGCCGTCATGCGACATGCGAAACACGAAACGCCGACGCCTCTCCTCTTCTGCACTCGTGCCCAATTTCCCCCTCCTCGACACTTCCTCAACGAAACACCACGCTATGCCCGGAGTCACTGATGCCCTTTGCCTCACTCACAGACACGCTTCTCTGCCAATGTCTTAGCAAGCGTGCTCAGCGACGATGTTTAGCAAATTCAATGTATCGGTATGAGGTGACTACTCAATGGCTCAGCAGACGCCATAACGTATAACCCTTAGACGCACCGGATCTTCCCTTTCCGTTATTCCCGCGCTGCAGAATCATAGACTGGGACAGGCCCCCTGAGCGGGGAGACTGCAGGCGCGGATGTTGCCATGCTACCACATGGCGATCGTGACTATGTACACGAGAGGCGAGCAGCTACCTCATAGCAATACAACGGAATCAAACATCTCCGCAGCTGAAGGATCTACCCGCACGCAGACTCTCAGCGATGAACTCCGTCGAGGATACGAACGGGACCTACGCGCAAAAACCTGCACACTTCGTTAGTGAACCAAAGAGTCTGGACCACTTGGCGTCCTTCGAGGCTCGCAACCGACGTACCGCTCCCTCCCTTGTCTACACACCAACCGCCTGGGGTCATGTGAGCGGATGCTTGAAATCTCTGAAGCCTGTCCGCCGCTGAACAGCCATGATTCTTGTCGCCTCACTCAAAGTGCCTTGTTACGAGGATGAAAATAGCCTGGACTCGCGGAACGGCGCTTCTCAACCCTATCGTGCCGATTTACGTTCAGCAGCTCGGCTCGACATAACTACACACACGTGCTCAAGTGCCGTCTTGCATAGTGACAGGACGTCGTTCGATTACGTGCTTAAGGAATCGCTCGCTGTCCCTGACGATCATCTAGGTTGGTTGTGGCATTTAGCTAATCGCTCTATCAACTCGACTATCGAATCATTGGCATCCACGCCCCATTCTCCATAGGCTGGCTCTATCATTCTATCGGTTTGCTCAAGATCGTCAGGAACTACAGCAGACCACGCTGCGCGACAGCGGCATTGGTGTGATTCAGCGCTTGGACCAAGTGACAAGAGCCCTCCCGTGAAATCCATCGTGGCCGGACTCCCGCGCACCCGGATAGAGGACGCCCGCCAGGGAGAGCCAGCTGCCAGGAGGCGAGTCATACTGATGACGAGTGTAACTAGCTATTCGGCATAGGTCGTCCAGAAACGTCGGCGTTCTGGCTCGGTTAGAGGTCGGCGAACTCATGTTCCTGAGATCGACGCGACCGCGCGGAATGGAAACCAGAGCGAGAACAGAATTCGCAGCCTTGATGTGGCTGTGTTACCCTTTCTCCGCGCGACAATTGTCTATGCAGGGTGTCAATCTCTCCGAGAAGTCGGCATCTGAGCAGAAAAACAAAACATCAGGCACACCAACCAGGTGTTTCACGCCCAACCGTACGAAAGCAAGGACGCATCATCTGGAAGGGATGTGATCCTGGGGTATTGGGCGATTAAATGACGATCCACGGAATTCTCCAGGATGCCCAGTTGACAGATCGTAGACTAGCCTAATGAGCATAGAGCGAAGCCGTATCCGACGCTGGCTTACGATCCGGTGGAAGCTAGCGGCACATCGTTTGCTGACAGGTGCACACTGACAACTTTATCGACATCGCGCACCCTGGCACATCTCCCGCGTCCAAGATGAATCTTCGGGAGAGAATGTCGATCTTCGCACCCTGCACCATGCCGCGAACCTTCTTTCCTGTCGTCTCGCCGATTCTTTCATCAACTTCCAACGCCTGAGGCGCTCTGTATAAGGTTGGAGGCGTCTGCCAACTTCACGATACCAGTGTCGTCAACGAGCTTCAGTACTCATCACGCTCTTTGAACATTCCCCTACTGACACCATGGTGAACCCACTCCTTGTCCTCGACGGCGTTGGCTGGACGTACATTACCATCTTCATTCTTTGGAATCTCTCACTGCTGTCTGGATTCGCTTTCCTATGGAGTCATCGCCAACACCCATCGCTGCGTATGCGAAGGCTGCCGCTTCTGTTCGCTGGTGTTTCCGTCCTTCACATCTATGGTGCCCTCTGCACGCTATGTACGTACGCCCACACCTACTACATCCAAGTTTGCTTTTGCATTACGTAGACCTGCCAACACCGAGCATATGCTGACTTGATACCTCCAGCCTACCCATTCGGCGCTGTATTTCCTTGCTCGGTCGAGTTCTGGGCGATGTCGATTCTTGTGCCCTTAGGAATGGCCCTGTTCCATGCCTCGAACAGTCAATTCTTGCACCTTGCAGCACGCCAGAAGCACTTCGCCCGTATGAGCTCGTTGAAGGATCATGAGCCTATCGATGAGAAAAAGGCTCAAGAGGTCGTCAACAGCCGCTGGAAGAGGATCATGAATGGAATGGAGCGCGCCGACAATATCGAGCGAACATTAATCTTCATCGGCATCGGCATGGCTGTACAAGTGAGCAGCCTCTACAGCTAATACTCAAACGCAAACTGACCCATCGTCTAGATCGCTCTCACTCTCTTTGTCTACTTCGCATCCCGAAAGTTCCACAGTGGCTTTGGTATCATCGACTACACCGTTGTCGGCACCGGCATGGAAGTGCGCATGAAGTGCAGCAAGGGCTGGGAATGGTGGCTATCCATCGTGTGGCAGCTGTTCTGGTCCTGGGTATACGCGCCTTGGATTCTCTTCAAGTCTCGCGGCATCCGCGATGTGCACGGTTGGCGCCTCCAGACCGTCATCTGCTGTGTTGCTGGGTATGTACTAAGAATTGCTTGTTCGCGTTCGTCACTGACTCCCGCAGGCTTCCCGCATCTCCGCTCTGGCTCATCGGTCTCTACACTCCCGCATTTGCTCCCATGAACGCCGTCTTCCCTCCACCAGTGTGGTTCTCAGTCTGCTTCTGCATCATGGAGATCACCAGCATTGGCTTCCCTATCATCGACGTACTCAAAGGCAACAAACTCCGCCAAGAGACTCTCGACGCAATCGCAAACTGGGAAGCTCGCCAGAAATCGGCTGGCTTGGATGCAGCCTCCATCGACGTCAAGAGCACCAGTGAATACTCGAACACAACCACACTCAAGTCTGGTGGGGAGGTCAGCATCGGCAACCAGTCATTCCAGTCATTCGACTCGCAAAAGTCCGACATCCTGACCATGACTGCCCTGGAGAACGCACTCAGGACCAATGCCATGCCACTGCTCCAATTTGCTGCTTTGAAGGATTTCTCTGGTAAGTCTTTCACACCCAACTACTACACGAACGTATACTGACTACATCCAACAGGCGAAAACGTCAGCTTCCTCACCCACGTCGCAGACTGGCGCCTCTACTGGTTCTCACCCAAGGCATCCATCGCCGAACACCGCCGCAGGCAGTTCCTCGCTGCCACGCGCATCTACGCTCACTTCATCTCTCTCGAGTTTTCCGAATTTCCTATCAACATTTCATCCAAAGAGATGAAGCTCCTCCACATGGTCTTTGAGAGGACCGCAAACCTCCTATTCGGCCGTCGCCGCAACTCCGAGTCCTCTTCCGTCAGCGACGCCACACCCTTCGACAACGTCATGCCCGATGACGCCTCCGATCTGCCCATCAACGTCTCCGCCAAAAGCAACCACCTATCTCCCAACGCCATTAGCCTCGACAAGCTCGGACGCGCAAACCTTAGAGCCGTGTCGCGCATGGGCGAGCTGTACGACGACGAGTCTGTTGCCGATGTCGAGGTGCCGGATGCGTTCAATGAGCTCGTGTTTGATGCTGCCGAGAAGGAGATCAAGTACCTTGTTCTTACCAACACTTGGCCGAAGTTTGTCAATGTTTCGCGTGCGAATAGTCAGTTGACTAGGGATGCGGATGAGGAGAAGGGCAATGCTTGGATGCGCAGGTTCCTTTGCGCATAATGCTTGCGCGAAGAGGGTGGGATGGCGATACTTAATAATATAATTTGATACCCCAGTTGCTAGACATAGCTTCAATAAAAAATTCAATACACAACATGATGCCAACATTCACTTTGTGTCGTTCTTCGCCTGTTGTACAGAGGACGCCATGGCCTGCTCAGGTACCTCCGTCGCAACTGCCGAGCCCCGATCCAGATCCACATCTTCACGATGACGTATACGTTCTAGAATTCTCTCACACCACGCAGCATCATCTATCGCGTTTTAAACTCCGATACCACCGAGACCTTGCTATGATGGGGTTAACAGTAGTTATCGAACCAGGCTAGAGATTGGCTGGTGGCGGCGTTGATGATGTTTCCATGAACGCTGCAGCTTCGCTATAAAGACGCACATTCCCAGCCAAGCTTTTCCATACCTACCTATTAACGAAACGTTCATATCAAACCCACATCATGTCTCTCAAATACAACAAAGTCCTCGTCCTAGGCGCCACATCCGGCATTGGGTGGGCGCTCGCCGAGAAGATCGTTCAAGACGGCAAACACGCCATCATCGTCGGCCGCCGACAAGAAAAGCTCGACGAATTCCAAAAGACGCACGGCAGCGACAAAGTCTCGACCTACGCCTTCGACATCACCAAGCTAGACGAAATCCCCAAGTTCGTCAAAGATGTAACAAGCGCGCACCCGGACCTAGACTCTATCTTCCTCAATTCGGGCATCCAGCGCGGTTTCGACTTCTCCAAGCCCGAGACCGTGGATTTGGATGTGCTAGAAATGGAGTTTAGGACGAATTACCTGAGCTACATGCACCTCACCACAGCATTCATCCCCTTCCTGCAGAAGCAAGAAAAGGAAACCAGCCTCATCTACACAACCTCCGGCCTCGCCCTCATGCCCCTGCCCCGCTGTCCAAACTACTGCGCTTCCAAAGCCGCACTGCACCATATGATC